TGTCATCCATAAAAACGTTTTCGTGCCAGGATGAATAAACAGTCATCCTGGATGATGGATGACACACAAGGATAATTTCATCCAAATAGTGACACATATCATCCTCCATCATCCCCCGTGACTCGACTATTTTCAATATATTGTATTATTTTAATAATTTTTAATGATGAAATTATTTTGTGTTCAATTTTTTTTTTTACGATATTTTCTTTACCGATTACATATTTTTTAATCTTATTTTCTTCTTCTATTTCTGTTATGAACCCAGATAAAAAATAAAGTTAAAAATTTCAGAAATACATTCATAAATTGTATTAGGGAATTGCGTTTCTTATTTTATCACGTAAACTCCATAATTTTGAAGAGAATAATCTTTCTTATAAAATTTTTTTTATTTGTTTTGTAAATAAATTTTCAACAATTATAAATTGTATTATACAACGATGCCTTTGAATGGTAGAAGCTTCGGGGACTCTTTTTTTTTTTGTTTGCCTTTATTGTTATGCAATTGATTTTGATAATATAAACATAGATAATCTTCATTTGACATTATTTACTGTATCTCTATTTATCTGCCAACTTCCAATGTTTGAATTTTCCGATTACACATAAAGTTTTGCTTTCGGGGAGTAATATCGGTATAATCATTCATAATCTCGCTTTCATCATTAATTTCTAATTGATTCTCATCGTTAAATTCATAATTGTATTATTGAAATAAAGAAAGTCACACTAAAATTCACATTATTATTTTATCTGAATTCATTAGATACTTAAATAATTCTTCATTATATTTGAATAGTGGAGTGGCTCATCATCTTCAGAATTATAGCTAGTATATTTAAAGTTTTCTTCAGAATCAATTTCGTTTAAAACAATTTTACAATAATTAATTCTTTATTAATTAATAAACAAATTACATAAAAATAAAGTATATTACATAAAATGAAGTATTTGTTTCTTGTTAAACGCACTGAAAAAAGCTACTCGAGTCAAAAAAACAAAAATTTTTGAAAATTTTGATTATCTTTCTCTAACATTTCGTGTCTAATACGTCTAATACTGATTTAGTAAAAAGGCAATGGCTAATTTATCTTCTGATTCCTCTTGAGCTACTTTTATATAAAAAAAAGGAATTTTTTTTTTTATTTGGGGTACTTTTAGGGAAGATGTGAAATTGACTTTTTCGTATGAAACTAGGATCTGCATGAGATTAATTAAAACAAGTCGAACAGGTTTAGCGTTGTTTGATAAAAACGAAAAAATGAAGTAACACCAACTAACCATGTTAATGAAACTCGATTCTTGGCAGTGCAGAACATGGCAGTGTTTGTAGAGTGGCGGGATTCTCCGGTTATTGATAAAAATGGTAGTAAAAAATTTAAGCATTTAAATTTGTACTCATTCTTTTATAAAGTGCATAAAGTGGCTGAGAATTTTCTTTGAACAATAACAAATAAGATAGTGACACGAGAGAAGTGGGATGTCTTAACAAGACGATTTGATAACTAATAGATACTTTTCCTGAAGTTATCATTTCTCAAATCAATATCATGGCATTTTTGCCAATAAAACCTTTATTATTCGGACTATTATCGCTTATATTTATTTTTATAATTTTTTATACCGATCTCTCACAAGCAACCTCAATACCTTCGACTATAAGAAAACGTAATTACAAAAAGAATTATTATTATGCTATAGAACTTAAAGATGATTTAATTACTACACCCGATGACGTTACAAACCTATTGGATATAAAATACGAGGGACAAATTGGTTCTCTTGCAAATCACCACTTATTTAGCTCTGAAAAAGAATTAACTGATCAATTGACCGCCCGTTCTATCGATTCCACCGAGTCCGAAGACTCCAACGACCGTGTCTTAATAAAATATGAGAAACTCAAATCAAAACGACATGCAAATCCTTCTTCTTTAGAAAAAAGATCAGTAAGCACTATAGATAACATTGTCTCAGTGGAAAAACAAAAATTGAGAAAAAGGTACAAAAGGGTTCCCATTCCAACAAGAGATAATAAAGATAGTAGAGCAGAGAATTCAAATTACTCTTTAGCAGTATCTAATATAACTGATCCAGGATTTCAATATCAATGGCATTTGGTAATTAATTTACTTTAATTTACTTCTAATCATTTAATTACTTTAATTTATAAATTAATTAATTAATTTCAAATTTTTTTTTTTATAATTTAAAAAGGTAAACAAGGTAGAAATTAACAATGATATCAATATAACGGATGTATGGAAGGAAGGTATATATATCTTTGACAGATTAATTTTTTAATCTTTTTATTACAGTTTTTTTTAGGGTTGAAAATTTATATTGGTTTCATTTCGATCGACAATGTACTAATTCCTTAGACGAAAATTAATTGAAATTATTGCTATGCATAAGGAATAACTGGGAAAGGCGTCGTGGCCGCAATAATCGATGATGGATTAGATATGTACAGCGATGATTTGGCAGATAACTTTGTATGGAATTTTTGAATTTACATTTATTGGTTTATATATATATATCTATTTTTAAAACTTATTATTATCGTTTGTAATAGTATGCCGAAGGATCATACGATTACAACGATCAAACTGCATTACCACAACCTCGACTAGATGACGACACACACGGAACTAGATGTGCAGGAGAAATTGCCGCGGTGAAAAATGATGTATGTGGTATTGGTATCGCACCGGATGTTAAAATTGCGGGTAAACTACAACTTAATAATTTTTCAATTTTATTAAATAAAATTGGTTAATAAAAATTTAATAAAAATTCTTATTTTTTTTTTTATTTTTTTTTTTTTTTGTATACGTTCAAAGGAATTCGAATATTATCAGGAGCAATTTCTGATGCAGACGAAGCTGAAGCATTAAACTATAAATATCAATTAAATCAAATTTATTCTTGTAGTTGGGGACCACCAGATGATGGTCAATCTGTAGAAGGACCTCAAGGGTTAATACTTAAAGCTATGATAAACGGAATAACGAATGGTCGTGGAGGAAAAGGGAGCTTATTTGTCTTTGCTTCAGGAAATGGGGCCTCGGTTGGCGATAATTGTAATTATGACGGATATGTAAATAGTATATATACCATAACTGTAGGAGCCGTTGATCATACTAATTCACATCCGTATTACGCTGAACAATGTGCTGCTCTTTTGGTGACAGCTTACAGTAGTGGAGGTGGAAATTATATTGTAAATTTTTAATTTAATATTAATTAAATGGTTGAATTTATTATATTTATTATTATTAATTTACAATATAAAAATTTATTATTATTAGTATACAACTGATGTTGGTAAACGAAATTGTACCAATTCGCATGGAGGTACTTCCGCCGCTGCCCCAATTGCAACCGGAATACTTTCCTTAGTTTTACAAATCAGGTAAATATAAATTTTGTTTCTTAATATACCAATTAAATTATTCTCTTAAATAAATTTATATAATATTATTATTTATTTATATTTGTTTCATTTATTTGTATATTTAATCCATAGGCCTGATCTTTCATGGCGTGATGTTCAATATTTAACTTTATTAAGTGCTGTTCCGTTCAATTTGTATGAATCGGATTGGGAATACACTAAAGCTGGTCGATTATTCAGTTACAAATGGGGTTATGGAAAATTGGATGCTTATAAAATAATTCAAAATGCCAAAACATTTAAAAATTTAGGATCACAAGTTTCTTTAGAAATGCCCATCGTAAAAGTCAATAAAAAAATACCCGATACCGAAAATGGACTTAAAAGTAAAGTGAATGTAACTCAGGAATTATTAACCAATGCTAATTTTAGTAGATTAGAGCATCTCACTGTCACTATAAATATAAAGCATACACGTAGAGGTGATATTGAAGTAAATTTGATCAGTCCAAATAAAATTACATCAAAACTTGGTATGACAAGAGAATATGATGAATATAATGGAGGTCTAACCAATTGGACTTTTATGACTTTAAAACATTGGTAAGTTCTTTATATATATATATATATATAAATATGAATGATATTACAATAATAATATTATTATTAAAATTGATTATTTTCACAATTTAAAAAATTTAAAAATTTAATAAAATAATTAATATTAACTAATATATATATATATATAAAAATATATTTAGGGATGAGTCACCAATTGGTGAATGGACACTTCAAGTGAAAGATAGATTAAATCCTCGACATACAGGTACTTTACAAGATTGGATGATTAAATTTTGGGGAGAAGAAATAAATACTACAACCACTACTACTACCAGCGTACTTTCGTCTACTTCAACTAGTTCTTCAATTAGTTCAACTCATAGTTCAGCTACAATACCCGCCGTAGTTACAACGACCGTTACATCTACCATTACATCCATTGCATCTCCCACTAGTCCTGTACATGTTGGTTTACAATTACCTATCACCAATGTCTGGATTTTAACTGGAATCGGAATGTCAATTGCTTTTATACTCGTCGGATGCATATACTGCATGTGTCTTCTAAAGAATAAATATTCGAAGAAAGGGAATGGAAAATTCAAAAAAGTCTTTGGAGGAGATGATTATCAATTGGTCTCATCACCATCGGGAGATACTACAAATGGAGCCGATGATTCTATTCCACTAGCTAGAGGCAGTAAAGAATCTTTTAACGCATTTGGGGACACTTCCGATGATGAAGATGAAAATACTCGAGTAGTATTTGAAAATGCTTATATGGATGAATATATGAATGAAAAAAACAATGGAAAAGTTGACAAGCAAAATATTAGTAGTGAAGTAATTGAGCAACGTCAAGATGGTGGTAGTTCAGGTACATTAAGTGTTGAACCAGGAAGAAACACTGACAACAACTAAAAAAAGATCGATTTAAAAAAAAAAAATTCGAACATATTCATTTTGAGAACATTTCTTTCTTTATTTAAAATAATATAGAATTTACATAGTATAACATAATATATAAATGTGATGATGTTTGATATAATTGTTGTTTTTTTTTTCGATAATTTATAATAATTATAATAAAATTTTTTCAAAAGTTTTTTATTCAATTGTTGTAAACATTTACTTTTACAATTTTTATTAATTTTATTATCTATCGTTATTAAAATTATTATTTCATTTCGAATTTCTAAATAAATCAATAAAAAAAAAATAATACATACATACATACATACATGCTATTGTTGTTGCTAATGCTTTCTGTAATTAATGACCATGCTCATCTTCACCTCCTCGATTTTCTGGTTCAACCTATTGATTTAGTAATTTAATTTAATATTTAGTAATTTAATTTTTAATATTTAATAAAATTTAATAAAATTTAATAATAAATAAAATAAATTCAAAAAATTATTAAATAGAAATATTAAACAACCTTAATCATATCATCAATTCTAAGGATAGAAATAGCTGCTTCGGTGGCTGATTTTAATGATCTGATTTTGGACATAGCAGGTTCTAAAACTCCTGCACGCAAATTATCTCGAATTTCTCCTTTATAAAGGTCGAGTCCATAATATTTAAGGTTTTTCTTCGGATCTTCCGGAGTTGCATTTTGTGCAGCATTATGATAAGCGCGTAATTTTGCAACCAAATCAGTTGAATCTTTGGCCGCATTGACAGCCAACGTCTTGGGAATTACAAGAAGTGCGTTGGCAAATTCTGCTATAGCCAATTGTTCACGCGATCCCTAAAGAATTTAAAAAAGTATTTTAATTTAGGTAAAATATTATTACAGTAATATCATGTAAACTCAAAACTCAAAATTATATACCAAAGTTGTGGCAAAATTTTCCAAATAAATATTCAAAGCAGTTTCTACTGCACCACCACCAGGAACTACGTTACCACTTTCTAAAGTTCTTTTAATAACTGACAATGAGTCATGTAAAGATCTTTCCATTTCATCCAACATGAAATCATTAGCTCCACGTAAAATAATTGATGCGGAACTTTGAGCTTTGGTGCCTTTAATTAAGATGCATTCATCATCCGAAATTCGTTCTTGTACAACTTCATCTGCCGAACCTAGAAAAGAAGCTTCAAACGTTTCTTCTCCTTCGAGATTCGCGAGTGTAGAAACAAGTGTAGCTACCAGAAAATTGATTCAATAAGAAATCATTGTAATACATGATGATATATATATATATATGTAAAATAAAATGAAAATATATATAAATATTTTACCTCCAGTCGCTTTGGCAATTTGCCTTAAATCATCCTTCTTACAACGACGAACAGCCATGGCACCAACATCCACAAAATACTTTAAGCAAAGATCATCAATTCCTTTTGTCGTCAGAATAACATTTGCTCCAGCGGCAAGAATCTTTTGAATGCGTTCAATGGTAATAGTTGCCTCACTAAAAAAAGAATAATAATAATAAAAATAAAAATAAATAAGACATACATTTTATTTAATTTTTATAAATTTTTAAAAAAAAAAAAATTCGTTTTGATTTATAACTTACCGTTTACGTATATCTTCTAATTTTTCTGGATCATCAACAGTTATATGTACCCCTAAATGCATTCTCATTTTCTGAAGATTCATATCAAGACACGCTATCTTTGCATTTGTAATTTTCGTTTTCATAGCTAAAATAAATAAATAAATATATATATATATATATATATATATATAAATGGAAATAATAAATTTATTTATAAAAATATATTCATTTTATATGATAATACCTTGAGCCGCGACGGTACAATTTAGTGCATAACCTTTAACTAATATAGATTCAGTAGTACTTTTGCCATGAGCTTTAAGAATGTTCACAGCTTTTACAGGATATTTAACTTCACCCCGAGAATTTGTAGTTTTTACCGATAACATGGCATCTACAGCAATGTTCGAAAAGAATTCATTATCCCTTTGGAGGGGGGGAAAAGCAAAATCAATAATAAAAATCATAAATAAAATTATTTAACGAATAAAAATTCCCAAAGATATTCAAAAATATTTGTAATAAAGTTTTTTACATACGATCCGATAATTTTACTTGACATGCTTGTCTTAGCAACATTCAAAAGACATTCGCGTCCTAAACTTTCAACTTTGCAGGTTAACTGATCAACAATATATTTACATGCTTCTTTACTTGCAAGCCTATAACCGGTAATAATTGTAGTTGGATGTATTTTATTTTTAACTAATTCATTTGCTCGACGGAGAAGTTCTGCGGCGATGATGACGACAGAGGTAGTTCCATCCCCAACTTCTTTATCTTGTTGTTGAGCAAGTTCCACGAGAATTCTTCCAGCGGGATGTTCAACTTCGAGCAAATTTAAAATTGTAGCACCATCATTTGATATTGTAACATCCTAAATTTTTGTAATAAGAAATAAATTTTAAAAAAAAAAAAAATTGTTCAGAAATAAAGATAATAATAATAACTTTCAAATTTAATAGATTATACTTACCCCAATATCATCGACTAACATTTTATCCAAGCCCACCGGTCCTAGTGAACTTTTTACAATGTTTGAAATAGACATAACAGCTAGCACTAAAATTTTTTAGAATAAATTTGTTAAAATATGTTTTCATTTATATTATAGTCTAAGTGAACAAGGTTCCTATTTGATAAACTTATATATATATATATAAAACTTAGATAAAAACGTTTTTGTTTTCTACACTAAAATAGATCTAACGATATTGATCTAACGAATCGCCGAAAAATTGATAACACGATGAGTGTAGTCACACTTTGTATTATATAATAATTAAAGAAGAAAGGAAAATTACCATTCTGATTCCGAACTTCACTGCCCGACGAACGCTCACCCCCAAGAAAAAGTGAAAGACTGCGATCTCTATGATACATGATCTCAGAAAGTAATCGTGTAGAAATCACCAATTGTTACACTGATACATTTTATACTGTAGAGCTTTAAAAATTTTTTTGAACCCCTGTAATTTTTAATCTTTTCTCATGTTAATTAAAAAAATAATTTTTTTATTATTATTTCTATTATTTTTATATATAATATGACTTTCCCAGAATTATCAATTTAATTCCAAGTGGTATTTGCATTCAAAGAAAATAATGATTCAAATAATAATAATGAAATTTCTTTATTTTTTTGAAATTATTACTATAAATTACTAAATTGTTGTATTATTCAATTGCTTTGAGAGATTTTTAATAAAAATGTTTGATAATAGAAAATGTCTAATATCTTCGCTTGTATAATAATAAAAATTTTTTATTTTTATAGTTATTAATTTTGTTAATTTTGTTAATTTGTTAAATTTTATGCGAGAGACATTAATCAACAAAGAATTTAATGATGCAAAAAAAAAAAAGGAATGTATATTGAATTACCAAATTATACATAAAAGGTTTATTCAAAGAAAATAAGAAAATAAGAAAGGATTAAATCCTCATTATTATTTTTTCTGTTGCTAAATGCAAGGTTCTTTATATATTAATAATTAAAGATATTTATAACATTTAATTTTACAAATGTACATAAACTATCTATCTAAAAATAAGCTAATATATATATTATTAATTCCTTGTATCTATAATTATAAAGATTGAAGAAATCAGTTAAATAATTTTACCTTGTTTAATGATATTGATGATAATAACAACAACAATTAGATAGTAATTGGTAATGTAAATTTATATTTGAATATTATTTTCGCATCCAATCACTTTTTAGAGAAAGGTCTTGGAAATATCTCTGTGACTTTTCCTTTTCTTGGTAGAATATTAAATTATATTGATTTATTTAAAGATTTTTTATATTCGAAACAAATTTATTTTTGTAATATTTATAAATTAATTTGTTATGATCATGGATCAAACCTAATATTGAAAGTTATCCTGCCTCTCTTTCTCTCCTTCTCTTTCTCTCCTTCTCTCTCTCTTTCCTGTTTTCTCTTTACCAGTTAATGGATTCATTCTCATTTGCCAGACTCTGAGATCAAATACATCTTACATATTTTTAATTAGAATTAATGATTTCCTTCCTTTTGTTGATAATTTTTTTTTTTTTTTAAATATCAATTCTTTTTGGGGGAGGTGTATTTAATATCTTTGTAATAATTTTAAGATGTATATTTCAAATAGATAATTTGATGTTAATTACATTTATTACTATTATCACCATCATCTTCACCATAATCTTCACCATCGTAACCATCAACATTATGATTATTAATTCCTTTTATCATTTCTTTTTTACGCAAGAGGTGATAGTTTTTTCTTTATTAAATTTTCCATTTTTTTTTCTAAATTATTTAGATAATCTACTCTAGTCGTACAGAAAATTATATGATCCGCAATGTAATATCATATTTGTAATTTTTTTTAATTATCAAAATATCCAATTATTATACGTAATATATATATAATATATGATGATGTAGTATTTTTAAATTCAGATAGTGAAATTTATTTTTTTTGAATATTTAATGTGATTACAGTAGATTTAGTAATGTGATTATAGTATAGAGATAATACAGAGTTAGTAAGAGATAGTAATGTGATTATAGTATACGATAGAATGGTGAGTATGAATAGTATGATGATGATGATGATGGTGGTGGTGAGAATAATGTAATGAAGAATGAAGAAAAGTTTAAAGATATTATATTGCGTAATTCAACTTTTGAGAGTTGTTATATATATATATATATATATATATAAAGAAATAAAAAAAAATAAATAAAAAAAATAAAAATTCGTGTTTTTCTTATTCTTACAATAAAAATAAAAATAATAATCAAAATAATAATAATAAAAAACAAAAATTTCATTAATAATATTATTGTAATTTCATTTTATTTCATTCTTCGATTGTAAAAATTATATCTTATAAAATTTATATCAGGATTATTAATTCTTCAACTCCTTCAAATGGATAGACTTATCCCTTATAAACCTCCTCCTCAAGGTTCACTTACACTTTTACCTCATTTCACTAAAATATCTTCAACTACATCTGGTATATCCAGTGAATCTATTATTTTACCTACTCTTTTACCTTCCACCACCACTCTTTCTCATCTTCCTTATTTTTATCCTCTTCATTTTCATCTTCCTCCTTTTCCTTCACTACATTATTCTTCTCCTTTTGTCAATAAAACTATTTCCGTCATTGATTCACAATCAACAATTAATTTACCTAGAATTAATTCATCATCAATTGGATTAATTGAATCTGATAATAACAACAACAATGATGATAACAACGATAATAATGATAACAACGATAATAATGATAACAACAATAATAATATCAACAACAACAACAACAACAACAACAACAACAACAATAATAATAATAATACTAATGAACCCAATAATAATAATACACCAATAAAAATCAAGAAAAGAACCTTTGTAGAAAAAACCGCCAGATCATATGAACTACTCGCCAAATTACATGAATGGAAAAATATCGATGGATCAATATTTCCTATATCCGTGGAAAATTTATGTAATTATATTCAAATAAAGAGATCCACAAATAATTTAAAAAGTATTGAATGGTATCTTATGGGATTTAGAAGATTTCATGAAGAATTACTTAAAAATGATGAATGGAATAAAGCCTGTAAACATCCCGATGTAATGAAATTATTAAATGAGAAGAAGGTTGAAGAAAAAAATAATCATAATTATATTAAGAATGTCGATAATAATAATGATAATAATGATAATAATAATAATCATCATAATAATAATAATAACGATAATAATAATAATAATAATAATAATAATAATAATAACAATAATTATATCAAGAAAAATGAGAAAAATGAGAAAAATGTCAAGAATGTTAAGAATGTCAATAAGAGGAAGAATAATAATAACAATAAGAATGTCAAGAAAGAAGATAATGATAATAAATCAAAAGAAGAAGCAAAGGAGGAGGATTCTATGAATAATCGAAAAAAGAAGAAAGCAAGAATTTCATCTCACATTAAAGAAAACAAAGAAATCATGGAAATTAATGAAACTAATGAAATTAATGGAATTCATCATTATCATAAAGAAGTTATTAATAATCATATTCTTAGTCAAACAAATGAATTAAATGAAGTAAATTCATCTTATATGGAATATATTAATACGGTGGAATGTATTGATATTAATAATAATCCAAATAATAATTCAAATAATAATAATAATAATTCAAATAATAATAATAATTCAAATAATAATAATCCAATTAACGATTCTAAAAATGAAATGATCGACGGTAACATAATCGAATTATCTCAAAAACAAATTGAAATAAATGTTTTTGTTGTAAGGTCTCCAATTTTTTCTCTCTCTCAAATTTTTCAATTTTACTCTTTTTTAATACTCATGTTTACTTTTTAAATTATCATATTTACTTTAAAAAATATTATTCATTTTGTTCATTTCATTTTGTCATTATCTGTTATAATTATTATTTTTATCATTTTTATCATTTACAAATTTTATTAATAATATTATTATCATCATTTTTATTATTATCACTATTACTATATTATAATTTTTAATGAATCCATCATCATTACATGAAAATGAACAAATTGATTATACTGAAATGAATCAATCGCCACATTCTGGAATACCATTTACTAATAATGCAATTTTCAATATTCTTGGATATCAGCCACCTTATGTTCCCACCACCACTACCACCACCACCACCACCACCACTACTACTGATGGAAATATATTAAATGGTAAAATATTTTATATATTTTAATTTATTTTCTTTATTCCAATCTCAATTTATCCATTTTTTCCCTTATTTTAAAATAGAACAATATAAGGATAATGGAACAAGTTCTAATGATATTAATACTTCTGAAAATGTTGTTGTTGTTGAAGGATTAACTCAAGTTCTTAATGATGTTGATGTTGATGAAAATATGAATGAAAATATGAATGAAAATATGAATGAAAATGAAAATAATGGAAAAGAGAATATGAAAGAAATCGGAAGATATAATAGTAATATTATTGAGGATGATGAAATTACTAATGAAGATGATGAAGATGATGATAATTATTCTCGAGGAAGTAAATATTTTTCTATTTTATTTATAAATTTATTTATTTATTTATTAATTAATTATTTGTATATTTTATTTTTATTATTCATTTATTATATTTGATAATAATAATTTATATTGATAATATATTGATAATAATAATGATAATAATAAAATTAGAGCGTAACTCTAGAAGAATTATTATTCCACTTAGAAGAAGTAAGAAATAATTGATTTATTAATAGTTCTATATATACTAATTATTATAATATAATTTTTATTATTAATATAATATAATGTTAAATGAATAGGTCGACGTTTAAAAAATACTTTATCTTATTGCGAGGATGAAGAAGAAGAAGTAATTATCAAATTTTATTATTATTATTATTTAATTATGATTATTTAATAACAATTTAATTTTAATTAATAACAATTTTAATTAATAACAATTTTAATTAATAACAATTTTAATTAATAACAATTTTAATTAATAACAATTTAATTATCAACAATTTGATTATCAACAATTTAATTATCGACAATTAATAGGATCCGGAAAGTTTTAAAATTCGGTTTAGAAAAGCTTTAACTGATTTAAAGGCCAAATATGAAGGGAAATGTGTTTACCATCCCTCGGGTTGTGTTCATGTAGAAGATAATAAACATTTCTTACTTACTGAAAAATTATATAGACGATGGGCTTCATTGATTGTAAGTTATTAATAATATTAATGATGATTTATGTATTAATTAATGATTTATCTATTAATTAATGATTTGATTCATATATTAATGATTTGATTCATATATTAATGATTGATTTATATATTATAATTAATGATTTAATTCATATATCTTAATGATAATTTTAATAGGTATCAGGCGAAGATGTTTTTATCGATTCTTTACCAGTTTCTGAGGAATTAGCCGAATTTTCAATTAACAATGCTATTTGCATATAGGTTAAATAACAACAATAGTGATAATAATGTATATTGAATAATACATACATAAATATATGATAATATTGAATATAATACATACATAAAATATATGATAAATATTGAATTTAAATATATTGAATATAAAATATGTGATAAATATTCCATTGAGATAGATAAAATAATGTGATAGAATGTTCACTCATCATAATCATCTATAATATAAAAATCATTGTAAATGTATGATTTATTATGATCAATTGATTGATTTGAATATTTCTCTTTCTTTCTTGATAAGAATAAGAAGAATAATAATAATAATATAATAATAAAGGATCCTTAAAAAAGAATGATTAATTTTTTAATAATAATTGTAAAATGTTAAAAATGTTATCAAGAAACACAACAAGGCAACATCAGTTTGGTTAAACATTTATTTATGTATTATTTATTATTTAATTATAAATATATATATTTAATTATAATTTATTTAATGATTAAATAATTATGTAGTCAACCAGATGAGAATTCTCATAAATTAATAATAATCCATTACCGATGTTATTAAAAAAAATGAATGATCAAAGGAGCAGTTTACAAGTTGGATAGATTCTTCCTAATAAAGGTTTTAATTTTCGGTGGACAAATTTATTCAATTAATTATTTATATAGATTGATTTTGATTTTATTATCATTTAAAGATATTAATTTGATTATTATTAACTTATCCTATAGTATTTATAGTACCTGAAACGGTGGTTGAATATTAAATTAAATTAATATACACGAAAAACAATTATCATCTCATATTTGGTAAAGTGGTTGAGAAAATAAATTATTATATTATAGTATTATTAATATTTCAAAAAAAAAAAAACATTTAAAAAAAAATGTCATACGCAATTGATGATGAGTGCGAACATATTGCTAAAGATTACAAAATTTTAGGCTTACCATATTATTTAAAAAAAATAAAATAAATGTGGATTAAAATAATCAATAATAGTATTCGAATAACTGTAAATTTATTATTCTGGTTAAAAGAAAAAAAAAGATTAATAGATAGAAAGAAATAGAAAGAAGCTAGCGAAAAAAATAAAAAAAAAAAAATGATTTGTTTGCTCTCGGTCGGGGAATTGAACCCCGGTCTCCCGCGTGACAGGCGGGGATACTAACCACTATACTAACCGAGATTTGATTGTTAGTGAAATGTAAAATTTTGATTATTTGAATGTTTTATTATCATATATATGGTATCATAATTATTGGATACTTTATTGGAGATTAAATATTATATCAAGACAAACGTATATATGATGATTTATTTATTTATTTATTTATTCATTTATTTATTCATTTATTATTTCATAGATTCAAATACATGATAGAAATAAGAATATTAGCAAAACATTGAAGCACGAATTTTTTATCTTTTTCTTCCATTGCCCAAATATAAAAATCACCTGATTTAGTGGTAATATTTGGATTGAATATCGAAGTTATTATTACATTATAAGTTGCGGTCATAGGCCACATAGGATCAACAGAGAAATTTAAATGATTTGGATAGGTGTTCTATTAATTAATTAATTAATTAATCGATATATTAGAGAGATATTTGTGTGTATGTGAGAGAGAGAGATATATATATAACCTAACTTACCGTTAACTTCTTAAATACGGTCGTACTAATATTTCGTGATGGAGTCTGCGTCGTCGCGGCAATCGATACAAAAACGTCAACTAAATTCATAATTATATATATATTATATTATTGTAATTATTATAAAAATTATTACAAATATAATTTTACTATTTACTATTTGAAGTTCCAACATAATTCCAAAGAATAAGATGAGTTGATTCAACAGCCAAGTAATTTCCACGTTTTGGAGAAACTATTTGAAGTTCTTGAACGTAACCCTTATTGATAATAATATTTTGTAATTCCTTTTCTTTATTTAAACAACTTATTAAAGGAGGGAAAAAATAAATTTGGAATATTATTATGA